TGGATGTGGTGTGAGGTTGAATGAATTAGGTAAGTTTCGTGGGGTTTTAAGTAGTATGAGTGAGTTTGTAGGATTTGAAGGATATTTGAGTGAGGTGGTTGGATTTGTATTTTGTAGCCAGTTTGGACGAATAATATATTTCTGGTTGAGTTTAGGAGTGAATTAAATTAAGTAGGTTATGAGATTTAATACCTAATAGAGGAGATTTTGGTCTCGACTTAATTACAATATATCCAAATATAACTAAACATGTGAATAATATTGCATTTTAATATATATTGACTTTTTTGCTGAAGCTAATAATAGAAGTTTGAATTAGTTACTCCGGAAGAGAAGGAGGAGGTGAATTCACTCCGGGAATCCCCTATAAAAGGACCTCCCTCCCCATCATTCAAATCACTCCTCCTCTCAATCTCACTTCAGTTTTCTGTTGTCACCAACTGGTATCAGAGCAATCTTGCAGCAGCAAAAATTGGCAGCAGAAAAACAAGTTGAGAGCTATGTTCAGCCCGCCATCCCGAGGTTCGATGGTCACTATGATCATTGGGCGATGTTGTTGGAAAATTTTCTCAGATCAAAGGAGTTCTTTGATATGGTGGAAACGGGTTATGAAGAGCCAGATGAAGGCGAGGTACTCTCAGCTGGTCAACAGCAACTGTTGGCAGCATCGAAGTTGAAGGACCTAAAGGTCAAGAACTATTTATTTCAGTCCATTGATAGGACTATCTTGGAAACAATGCTTCAGAAGAAGACATCCAAGGAAATTTGGGATTTTATAAGGAGGAAGTATCAAGGCTCAACGAGAGTAAAACGTGCTCATCTACAGGCAGTTAGGAGAGACTTTGAAATTCTCCAAATGCAAATGGGAGAAACGGTGAATGATTATATTGGCAAGGTTATAAGTCTTGCAAGTAAAATGAGGATGCATGGTGGTTCAATCACAGATCTTGCGGTCGTAGAAAAGATTTTGCGATCACTAACTCCAAAGTTCGATTACATTGTATGTTCTATCGAAGAAGCAAACAATGTCGAAGAGATGCAAATAGATGAACTCCAAAGCTCCCTGTTAGTACATGAGCAGAGGCTCAATCGTACAAGTGCAATAGAGGAGATGACAGCCTTAAAGATATCCACACCAAGTGAAACTTCAAGCTCTAGAGGTAGAGGGCAAAGAAGAGGTAGAGGTCGTGAGAGAGGCAGTCAAGAAAGAAGTGGAGATGTTGGCAGGTCAACAGACCTAGTCAGAAACGATTATGACAACAAAGGCAAGAGACACTTGACAAGTCTAAGGCCTTGGACATTACAAAAATGAATGCTATACCAGGCTCCAAAAGAAGAAAAGAGATCAATCCAATTTTGTGGAGAGAAGAGAAGAAGAAACATTATTAATGTCATTCCATGCTATGAAGGTTGCAGATCAAGGTGTATGGGTCGTAGACTCTAGATGCAGCAATCATATGATAGGTTGTAAGGAATTCTTCTCAACTCTAGATGAAAATTTTCATACTACGGTTTCTCTTGACAAGAATTCAACTCTCCAAGTGATGGGGAAATGAACCGTAGATATCAAGACTAGAAATGGCTTTGTAGAGTCTATTTCTAATGTATTCTACATTCTTGATCTGAAGGCCAACTTACTTAGTATCAGTCAGTTACAAGAAAAGGGGTATGTGATCACATTCCAAAATGATGAATGTGAAATTTATGACTCCAAAAAAGGATCGATTGCAAAGATGAAGATGACCACCAACCGTCTATATCCGTTGACGTTAAATATCAATGCCAAAAGTTTGATGGTGAAGAAAGAAGATACCACTTGGCTTTGGCATTTTAGGTATGGTCATCTACACTTCAAAGGATTAAAGACGTTGTCCTCAAAGAAGATGGTAACTGGGTTGCCAGATATTACTCCACCAACGGAAATTTGCGAGAGCTGTGTAGTAGCAAAACATGAAAGAAACTCTTTTCCATCCGGAAAATCAAGAAGAGCTCAAGCAATTTTGGAGTTGATTCATTTAGACATATGTGGTCCCATCTCTCCAGCATCAAATGGTAACAAGAAATATTTCATGACCCTCATCGATGATTTTAGTCGAAAAATATGGACTTATTTCTTGCACGCCAAATCAGAAGCCTTTGATTGCTTCAAAAAATTTTGTGCTACTATGAAGACGGAAACTGGAAGAAGAGTCAAGGTTTTAAGAACTGACAGAGGTGGAGAATTCTGCTCGAAAGAGTTTATTCAATTTTGTGAAGAGAATGGCATACGGAGGTAGTTAACAACAACATATACACCACAACAAAATGGTGTGGCCGAAAGGAAAAACAGGACCATTCTCAACATGGTTCGAAGTTTACTAAAAAAAGGAGAAGTCCCGAAGGAATTCTGGCCAGAAGCTGTTGTGTGGTCTGTTCACATTCTCAACCGGAGCCCTACTTTTTCTGTTAGAGATATGACTCCACAAGAAACATGGAGTGGAAGAAAACCTGCAGTAGACCACTTTAGAATCTTTGGGTGCATAGCATATGCACACGTTCCTGATGAGAAAATGAAGAAATTTGAGGACAAGAGTTTGAAGTGTGTGTTCCTTGGAGTAAGCGAGACCTCTAAGGCGTACAAGCTCTACGATCCTTTGACAAAGAAGGTGGTGGTAAGTCGTGATGTAGTCTTTGACGAAAAGAAGACTTGGACATGGGAAGAAAAGATCACTGTGAATCAGCAGATTCCTGTAGATCTTGAAGAAGAACAAACTGAAGCCCCTATTCAGCCTCACTATGAGCATGGAGAGAGCTCATCACAAGCTCAACAAGAAGAACCAGTAGAAGAAGATCAGGATCATAATCAAAGACATCCAAGAACAAGAAAGAGACCAAACTGGATGATTGATTATGAGATGGACTATGAATCAAGTGATAGTGGTTATTTTGCATTCTTTATGGATAGTGATCCAATTGTCTATGAAGAAGCAGTAAAGGAGAAGAAATGGAAGGAAGCTATGGACAGTGAAATCAAATCCATAGAGAAGAACAAGACTTGGGAGCTCACTGATTTTTCTAGAGGGCAGAAAACAATCGGAGTAAAATGGGTTTTCAAAACCAAGTTGAATGAAAACGGTGAGGTGGATAAGTACAAGGCGCGACTTGTTGCAAAAGGATACAAGCAAAAGGATACAAGCAAAAGTATGAAATTGATTATAAGGAGGTATTTACACCAGTGGCACGTCAAGACACTATCAGGCTCATAATTTCTATTGCAGCACAGAAATCTTGGCCTATTTATCAACTTGAGGTGAAATCGGCCTTCTTACCTGGAGAGCTTCAAGAAGAAGTATATGTGGAGCAACCAGAAGGTTTTGTTCAAAAAGGCAAAGAGGAACAAGTATACAAGTTGAAGAAAGCTTTGTACGGTTTGAAGCAAGCTCCGAGGGCATGGTACAATCGAATTGATTCTCATTTTGAAAAGATGGGATTCACTAAATGCCCATATGAACATACGTTGTATGTGAAAACTGAAAAGGGAGGTAACATTATCATTATTTGCTTATACGTTGATGATTTAATATTTACGGGCAATAATGAAGAAATGTTTGAATTTTTTAAGAAGAGCATGATGAAGGAATTTGAAATGACAGATCTTGGCTTGATGAGATATTTTCTTGGAGTAGAAGTTACTCAAACTCCGCAGGTAACTTTATCTGTCAGAAGAAGTATGCTCAAGAATTACTTGAAAGATTTAAATTGGATGAGCGCACATTTGGAACTCCATCAGAATTGGGTTTAAAGTTGCACAAGGATATTGACGGGCGAGAGGTGGATAATAGGTACTTCAAACAAATTGTGGGAAGTTTGATGTACCTAACTTCAACAAGACCAGACATCATGTATGCGGTTAGTATGATAAGTCGTTACATGGAGCATCCAACAGAAAAACATCTCAATGCAGCAAGAAGGATACTTCGTTAAGTGAGAGGAACCTTTGATTTGGGGGTATTCTACAAGAAAGGAGATGATCCGAAGATGGTTGGCTATACAGATAGTGACTATGCAGGTGATATAGACGATCGTAAAAGTACTTCAGGAAGTATTTTCATGATGAGTTCAGGAGCTATTTGCTGGTCTTCAAAGAAGCAACCTATTGTAACACTCTCAACTACAGAAGCAAAATTTGTGGCAGCAGCAGCATGCTCGTGCCAAGCAATTTGGTTAAGAAAAATGCTTGAAATTCTTAATCAGAAGCAACCATGTACGACGGTTATATATTGTGATAATATGTCAACTATTAAGTTGTCTAAAAAAGTACTCCACGAAAAATGTTACCCTATAGAGTACTACTCATCTGTCATAAAAGACAATACTCATAAATATTAAAAACTACCATTTTCTAAACACATTCGCCTTGAAAAAGACCAACAACAAAGCCCAAAATCCTGTGTTGCACGGAAGGAGCAAGCACATCGATGTTCGATTTCATTTCTTGCGTGATTTGTGTAAAGAAGGCATTATTAAACTCAACTTTTGTCGAAGTGATGAACAAATCGCAGACCTATTCACAAAGCCCTTGAAACAACCATTGTTCGAGAAGCTTAGAAGAAAGATGGGGATGTGCAGAATCCAAGATGTATATCAAGAAGATGGAGTGAAGTCCTAAACTGATTTCCGCAGAATTCAAAGGAGGGTGTTGAAGCTAATAATAAAAATTTGAATTAGTTACTACTGAAAAGGAGGAGGTGAATTCAATTTCATCCACAAAAATCTCAATCAACTCCGGGAATCCCTCTATAAAAGGACCTCCCTCCCCATCATTCAAATCACTCCTCTCAATCTCATCTCAATCTCACTCCAGTTTTCTGTTATCACCAACATTTTTGTGAAGGGAAACATTAAAAGAATTAAATGTCTAAAAATGTCCTATGAACTTGACAATGATATTTAAAAATATATATATATATACTGATGCGAGGACAAATTCGAGATTTTGACGAAAGAAACCTTCGGATCCCCTTGCCCGTTGCCCGTTGGGAGAGCGGTGGAGTTGCCTATTCATTGTTGGATGAGAGAGAATATTGGGGGCTTTTACGGGAAAACCCAATTTAAACGCTTTTCCAGATCCGACCGTTGCAATTATTTGAAAAAAGGAATGAGAGAGAGGCTCCTTTGAAAAACCTCCATTCTCCTCCTCACTCAATCTCTCAACCTCTCCATCCTTCACTTCTTCTTCTTCTTCTTCTTCTCCTTCTTTCTATTTTGCATTTCTTCCTCCCTCACATCTCTCTTTTGTTGAGTCACCCATGAACGATAACAACAACAGATCCTTATCAATCATGGAATCAAAACCTTCACACCCTCTTCACCAAATTGCCAAAACCCCAACCCACAAACTTCTTCTCAAGCAGTGGCTCAAGGAGGAAGAACTAATCTTCGGCAGAGTCTCTCTCAAGGAAACCCAAATCGATTCTGTTCGAAAGGAAATCACTATGCTTCACATTTTCTTCTTCGTCTTCCACTCCACATCTATACTCCTCCTCTTCAACGCCTCCACCAAGGACTTCAACGGCGCAGCCTGCAACAGATCCTGGATTCCCTCCATTTGTTCTCTCTTATTCTCTCTGGGCATCATTTGGGCTGTCAGATACAAGACTGAGCTCGAGGCCCATTTGGAGAAATTGTTAGAAAGGGAAAAAGAAGATAGAAATTTGCTGTCCAAGTGTGTTGAAGAGTTGAAGCGGAAAGGGGTTGAATTTGATTTGTTGAAGGAGGTCGATGCGCTGCGGAGGGCGAAGAGCTTGCGGGTCGAAAGTAAGGCTGTGAGAAAATGGTCTTCAAGGGATTTCATGACTCTGTTTTTCTTCTCTGTTTCGTGTATGTTTCTTGGGATTATTAGGATTGTTCTATGTGACAAGTGAAGGGATTCATAGAAATGGAGCATTCATGTGATGCCAAGGATTTCGTCGTGGTCCTGACATTTGGATCTTGTTTCAGTGCAGATTACTCTGTTCTGCACTTGTATTTTGTTGCTTTGGTGGAATTATTTGGAACTAGTGTCTAACCATTTTAAAAAATGGTTCTTTGTTCTGTTGATCCTTGCTGGATCTGCTCAAACACTTGGTGAATCCCCTCTATTTTTGACCGCCCATGATTAATTCTTTCCTGAAGCTACAATAGTAGCTATGACTCGTGTTTTTAGAGGTCAGGTCATACCCGACCCCCCAACCCCTTAAACTTCCAATTTTTAAGCCCTGTATCATAATAATTTTTAAATTTATGTTTATTTTTCCACCCTTTCTTAACTATGAATTTCATAAACATTTGAATTTCTTAGTAAAATGTCAATCTAAAGTAGTTTCTAATCACATGGTGGCTCATAGGCTAACACTGACGTCTAGGGAAGATATGGATCATTGTCTATTGTTTGCTTCTGCCCCCCTCATGTTTGAGTAAAACTCCTTAATGTAAAGGATTATACTCGGGACTCCCCAACAAATGCATAATCTAGATTACTATTGATCCAACGTCAAAGGTGAAGTTAAAGCCAATAAGGTTCGGGAGGGTCCTTAGGAAGAATCTGAAAATGTGTAAGCATCAGAGAAGAATCTGAAAAAGGATATGATTACAATAAGCTTGGGGAGGGTCCTTCGGAAGATAAAGATTAAGTGGCGTCTAACTAAGTGAGAAAGAAGTTCTAATCCCTTTTTCTGCTGCAAATCTTCTAGTGTGTGTTAATTTATTTTATTTCACTAGATTGGGTTTGATGTCCAACAGTCTTTACTCTTGTGATCGTCTTTTTGAAGAGGCTGAACATACTTGTTTTCCTTTGGGGAGGGGGAAGAGAGATCCTAATGAAACAAAGTAGGAGAAACGATGCATTTTTACCCATTCCAGAAGATAAACTTTGTCTCGCTCTAAGCTTGAATCTGAATTTGGCCTTCCTCTAACAATTTCATGAGCCACAATGCCAAATCCAAAGATATCAGCCTTACTTGCGTGTCGCAAGTGTCACAGTCGACGATACAGTCATTGAGGACGATGACTAGGTTAAGTGGGGAAGAGCGACACAACCTCACTGAGAGAAAGTAGGTTGTGACCCCCACACGTTAAGACAAACAAGGGACGACCCTCAAGTGGCACCCATCTGACCATGTTTGGGCCAAGATTGAGAAGTATCATGATGCAACCGAGGAGGACGGTGCATCATCCAACACATCAAGAGTGCATTGAAGATTGAAGATAAGTCAAGGAATACACAAATCGAATGAAATCAGGCATTCTGTGAGTGAATTCATTGTCCGATGTCCATCGGATCAGAAGAGAGCTTTATATCTAAATGATGCATTCTTGACGGAAAATCCAACAATACTCTGAATATAAAAAAACTGAGGACAACCACATGACTGCAACATTTTAGGCGTTTATCCTATTTGTTAGAAGGTGCGATACCAAAAATTCAGATTTAGAGGTTGCAGGCTAGAGAAGGCAACCCCTAATAGAAAACAGAAGTTGCGCATGATAGTTATAGAAAGGTATGAGAATTTGAAGAACAAAAAACCAAAAAGAGAATGAAAAGCTTACAGTTCCTGTAACGTACAAAGATTTCCAAGCTCTGGTGGTAAGGAAGCAGAGAAATTGTTGGAATCAAATCCAGCTCAATTAAATTGTGTGCTACCAGTAAAAACATTCCACATTGAAAAAGTCGTAGAATCAAATCCTCCACTCTACCTGTGATGTAATATTGTAAAAGAAATATGTGGAGGTGTGTGTATAAGAAAGAAAACATACAGATAGGTAAGGGAAGTTGATGTCCATAGCTCTAGTGGGAGTACACCAGCAGCATCTAGTGCATAAACGTGCCTGCAAAATCATATAAATGAAATGAAATTCAAACAAGAACATGAAAGAAAACAAGGAACATGAGTTTGCTATGATAAACAAATATGTCTTCTCTGATCCTTTCTTTCAACCAGATTTTATACTCTTACAATCAACCAAATTTGTGGGGACGCAAAACGTACAAGCAAAAATATATACAATTTTTTTCTTGCACTTCACATCCTATTTTTTTAACGGTCCATGTACATCAATGCTTCAACGTCTTAAGGTTTATTAGCATTGACTAATGAAAGGGAAGATCATGGACGCCATGGATATGGAATTGCAAGCTTCATCAGTTTCAAAGGATTATCAGAGGATTAATCTGTAGTGGTCACAGTGCATCCAACAGAAATGAGAGTAGATATTTTCAAGGTAACACTAAAATTCAATAGCCATGATATTACTGGGAGATTCCGAGAAAAACGACTACATCAGAGTGGAAAAAGAAGAGCATGTGGAAGATTATTGAGAATAATCAAACTTCCCATCCCAATGAATGAATTGCTTACCTTGCTTTGCCGATGTTAAAATCTATGAATTATGAAGACCCGCCACCGTCTTTAAAGTTGTATCGGCTCCGCCATGTCATCACCCACCAACCCAAAGGCGGGCTCCACTGATGGATAAAGTCTTAGTGCTTAAACCTGCTCCAGCCTCCAACCCATTAATTTATTGAATTTGATATAAATTAGGGTTTTAAAAGTCGGGCTAGCCTCAGCCCATTCATTCGGCCCAACCCAACAATGTAGTGTTTTAGGCCTACTAAACTTGGGCTTGGGGTACAGCTTGAGCCTTTCACTTTTTGGAGTCAGAACGAGTTAGGTCGCTCAACGATGATGGTGAGTACTGGGCATTTGGGTCGGTTTTCCTTCTTACTGTCTCGTATAGAACAAAACTACACTTCCATGCTAAGTCACCAACAATGTTATGAGAGGTGTGATTTGAAGTGGGGTTTAGTGAGCATGCATTGGAGCTGTATCCTGCTTCTCATTGCCTCCCAAATTATAGATGAGAATGAGGGTTTTGATGATACTGAAATAGTTGTTGTATGTAACAAAGTTGTATCAATACCATTCATTCACTTTTATATGGAAGTCAAGTTTTTGCGTGTAGAAGGCATGGTGTTCTAATAAAGCTCAACCAACAGTCCACGTGTTGTGTGACGAAGAGTGGGGGTAATCAGCTGTGTGCTCATCTGGGCCTTTGCCAGCATACAACATTGTAATTTAATTTAGGTAAAATAAAGGGTGAAAATGATGCATTAAATGAGCAGAGAAGAGTAGTAGTAATTGTCATTGGCATTGAATGCCCCAATTAATTGTGTTCCGCAACTCTTCCACTTTCCCATCATTAATCAAATTCGAACAATTAATTTCCATTTTCCCTCCCACCATTAATATCGCAATAATGTTTAGTTCATAAATAAATATCCTCTTATATTTCCCGTAGCGCTCTCCATACAATCACAAACAGTGAATCCAAACCCCCAATCCCCTCTCTCTCTTTTCCCCTCTGCCTCCCTCTATAAAGCTCCAAATATGGCCGCCCAAGTGAGCAGTCTTATTCGAGTTCTCGCCGGCTACAAGGACCAAGACAACCGGGCCGCCCTCGAGGAATCAACGGCTCTCACTACTCGTGATTTGCTCGGTCAATCTTCCAACCTCGCTGACTCTCAGGAACTGGACCTCGATTTGCAGGTTCCCTCCGGCTGGGAAAAGCGCCTCGACTTGAAGGTTTCTTCAATTTCATCCCTTTTTAACTTCCAAAATCTCAACGCCTCCTTCATTTTATAGCAACTCTTCGTTAAATCTTCCAATTCAAGATTCCTTTTATTCAATTCAGAAATTGGGCTGAAAAAAATGGGGTGGGAACTATTTTATTGCACTTGTGGGTGTGCTCTATGTTCTTGGATGCTCTGCAAATACTGTAACTTTTTTTATATTTTTCCTCTGATTTTAATGACATTCATTGCGGCGCTTTATTTTATTTTTTAAAAGAGTTCTTGGTGTTTGTACTCGCCTGATTAATTATCCCCACCCTGACCCTATTCAATTACCACCCCCTCTCCTCTGAAATCATTGGGTTAAAAACAAATCCTCTGTTCGTGTTTGCAGTCGGGAAAAGTTTACATACAGAGAAGTCAGACTCCAGATTCTCCTCTGAATTCAGATTCCAAACAACGCCAAATGAAGAATCAAACAGAATCCAAATCCCAGGACTTGAATTTCCCCCCATCTCCTTCAAAACGAACATTAAATCTCTTCAATGAAACCAGCTTGGATTTGAATTTGACGTCGTCGACCAATTACGCCAGCGTTTGCACTCTGGATAAGGTCAAATCTGCTTTAGAAAGGGCCGACAAGGAGCTGATTAAAAAACGGTCTACGCTTTGGAAGTCGCCGTCCTCCCCCTCGGCGGCGAAGGAAATTCAAGAAGAAGAGGCGGCGGAAAGTAGAAAGTCGGCGGCGCCGATGGCGGTGGGTTGTCCTGGATGTCTATCTTATGTATTGGTGACGAAAAACAACCCAAGATGTCCTCGATGCAATTCTGTTGTTCCATTGCCGAGCATCAAGAAACCTCGAATCGACCTAAACATATCCATATAAAAATGGTCGGGAATCGTTCATCATGAACCAATATATAAAATGAAGAAATTTTGGGGCATGGTTCTATTGTTGCGGGTACATGTAAAATGAACATATTTACACCAAAAATATTATGCCTTCCATTGTTCAATTTGTTGGGTTTGTCTGGCTCTTTCAATTTTTGTTTTGTTTGACCATTTTGGGGTTTAGAAAATGAAAATGGTAATTCAAATTGGGTTGAATTCTAAAAACAATTGGAACCTAAAATTCTACATGTAAATAAATAAATTTTATTTGGATGTAAATGTAAAGTTGAATATGGGATATTTGGGGTTAAAAAAAAGTGCGCATTTATAGAGGTTGCGTAGTAAAAACGTTGAGAAGGGCAGTGGGTGGAGAAGGTGGGTTTAATCTTAAATGGTTGCTTGCTGCATTGTATGAGGCTAATTATAGCGTTTCCAGACCCAACAAATTAATATATTTAATGGACACTTTTAATTTTGTCATAGTTTGCCACCTACGTTTGTATACCCCACATTTATTGCTCTCTTTCTCTCTCTCTCTCTCTCTCTCTCTCTCTCATTTTTCTTCTTTCAAATTAAATTCGTATTATTGTTGGATTACTACTCAATTAATTTTCATTAATCACACCTTTCGTCTCTGAGGCTTTCCTGCCCTAATTTCAATCTTAAAACTTTGTTGTTAATTAATCCACAAGTAATGTCATAGGATTATGGATTTATTATGATCTATGTGCGACTTTTATGAACCTTGCATCGCAGTTATTACTATTAAATTCCGCAACCATTTTTTTTTTCAACTTTCTTGGCAAGGAAATCAACGTCAACACCCCATTAATGCCCATAACTTCATGAATTCAATCAATGCCTGATTATTTCAATAATTAAAGGATAATACATCTTTTTTATTATTATTATTGTTGTTGTTATTATTATTATTATTATTAAGATGCAAAATTACTGAATTGCTGTAATAAAGATGAATAGATAATATAATCTATTTGTTTTCCATCTTTTATCCCACGCCTACAACATAAATAAAATGCTGTAAATGTGGAATAATTCTGAGATATTTTAAATAAAGATGAGGTATAGTTGGAACAAGGTAAGAACCATATGTTTGGGTTTTAAAATTTAATGTTGAAATAAATGTGAAAAATGTTAGGCAAGTGGTGGGCAAGAGTCTGTAACTCCTTCTCCTAGGCCACCCATATCTTTTGTCATTGTATTTATCACATGATATTCCAAATTAATAATAATAATAATAATAACAAAATTGGAAAATAAATAATAAAAATAATCGTGAAAGGATCCCTTAATTTTGTAAAATACCATTCAATCGCCCACAGGCATTAAATGAGGACTTTCAAATTTTGGGTTAATTTGGGTTTGCCACCTACGCCCCTACACTACGAGACATTGTATTCCTTTTCTTTTCTTAATCTCTTTTTCCATTCAAAATAAAATCCATAATAGTACATCAGGATTGGGAACTAATTTATTTCGACTCAATTAAGTCTTAGCCCCCATTATTTATTTTGACAAATTAAGTATTAATCTTAAACTTTGTCAACTAATTATTTCACAACTATATGGGACAACAAATATCTCTAATTATTTCACAACTATATGGGACAACAAATATCAATATCATATACTAATTTCCTCACAACTTCGCACAAAATATTATTTTTAATCAAATAATTTGGTACTGGCCTCCATGCCTAAATCCATTCACATTACTATGCCAGTTTTAATTTTTTTAGGTCGAAACATCACTATATTATTATTGCAACGTAGCTACTGTGTTTTGAACTTGGTCAATTGAAAAAACAATAATAAAATATTTTAAAATGTGAAAATTAAAGTCTATTAATATTTTTTTCAATTTCTCATACTAAAATCAAATAAATAAAATCTGTAATGTTAAACTAATTAAAGTATGCCACACACGTATGGTTATGGATTTAAAAAATTAAAAATCAAGGAAGGGTGTGGCTTAATGAACATCGTTTCCTCACATTAATTCACATTAAATTATGCAATCTTGTATTAAAATTTATACTTAATTGACAATTAAACGGAAGTGATAGAGTATGAAATATACACGCTTTGATTAGGGAGGTTTAAATTAATTATAGTATTCTATGTTATTTAAGAACTTAATTAGCTAGCAATTAATTAAATTTTAAATATCCCCTCTTAGAAAAATACTTGATTATGGGTTTATATTATATATGGATGAAAATATTTTTCATAAATACCATGGAAAGAGAGATTAATTTAAGGGTCCATTTATTGGTGTAATAAAAATGATGTGTTTAAGAGTAAGACAAGACACCCACTATTAAATATTAGGTATCCCATATAAAATGCATGTACCTAACAAATGATTTTAGAGATTTGAGAGTTTGAAACATGTGTTTTGCATTTGTATTTGAGTGGGGAAAATATCCAAATACCATGTAATATGTAGTTCAGTCACATATTATTAATTGAAAATATTATATCTTCAACCACTCCCTCAATTTTTAGGGTTTTATTGAAAAAAGAAAAAGAAAAAGAAAATAGTTTGCATAAACTTTTTTTTAATCAAGTATTGGTGTCGTTTTCATATTTATGAAGTTTGTTCAACTAAATAAACACGCAGCATTTATTAACAGCACCAGAATTTAATGTTCCCAATTGACAATTACGAGAATCGCTTCAAACCTTCTTTCCCAACATTAATTAATTCATGATTGGACCCTTTCTTTTGCTTTTTTATACTTCCGTCTTGCATTATAAATTTCTTTACTTTCTTCAAATGATTTTTTTTTTTTTTTTTTATAAAAAAATGTGATAAAATGGGAAGATATATTTTTTTCTTAAATTAATTGTTCAAAGATGCTTAAAATTGAACCCAACCGAATATTGAACATTAATCTAAATTATAAGAGGTCAGGGAAAAAAATACAAAACAAAACAAACTATTCCTGTACTCCACACGCCCCTTCTTTTTCTTCCCGCCATCTCCTCCTCCGTTTCAGCAGCTCAGTAGCCCGCCGTCTTCTTTCTTCTATGCCGCTGCCCCCTCCCTCTGTAATCTTTAACCACTCGAAGGAGGCTTTCATTCTGTCTTCTCCATGCGGTAGATACGTAATAACGAGAAACAGAAGCTAATTCTACCGCCGGAGTTTCCACCAGAGCTCACCGATGAAGAAGTTGAGGTCTCCGAAGGGGAAGAAGTTGACGTCTCAGAAGGTAATTCTATCTTTTTCTGTTTTTATTTAAGCTATTTTTGTTTCGTTTGTCTTAGTTGCATCATTTGTTAATTACTCTGCTATGGAATGCATATACAGTTACTGGATTAGGCTTCCAACAGCAAAGGAGCTAGAAATGGAAGTATCCAAGGGTGTTCAGAAAATGCGGAGCTACGGGTCTACTCTTCTCATTGCTTATAAGGTTTGTGCTCCTATTTTTATTTATCTTTCCATGAGGTTTTCTGGTGCTTGAAATGGAATGAAGTTACTTAGCAAAGCAATTTCTGAAATAAAGATCAGTTCAAACCATCACAATCCTACCTTGCTTCGATGAAGTTATTTGGTATGCGATTAGATCTTAGTATGATATTATTAGTCTTTCAATTGATGGATTGGGTTTCTAACAATTGATAATTTATGCTTTCACAGTGTAGACTGAAACTTCTTGGTTTTTTGCAATGCATAACTGGGGATCTAGATGCCTTATTTGTTAAGAGGATCTCCTTTTAGGTATTATCAAACTCACTTTTTCTATCTGTTTATATTTTTGTGCATACACTTTTGCAGGGATACCTACAGAAGCTAATGTCATTAGAAAAACTTACGTCGTTGAGGATTGTTAAGAGAGGAGTCCCACGTTAGCTAATTAATGAAAAAAATCATGGATTTATAAGTAAGAAATACTATATCCATTGGTATGAGGTTTTTGGAAAACCAAAAGCAAAACAATAAGAACTTGTGCTCAAAGTGGACAATATCATACTCAATGATTCCTAACATGTTATCAAAGTCACGCCCTTATCAATAGAATCCTCAAGTGTTGAATAAAAGGGCCTCAGGGAGGCTCTATGGTGTACTTTGTTCGAAGGAGTTGAGCCTCCCGCCTCGAAGGCATAGTAAAATATGACTAAGACTCCAAAAGAAAAAGGAGTCGAGCCTCGATTAAGGGGAGGCGTACTTTGTTCGAGAGGAGGTGTTGGATATTGGATGAAAGTCCCACATTGGCTAATTTAGGGAATGATCATGGGTTTATAATCAAAGAATACTCTCTCCATTGGTCTAAAGCCTTTTGGGAAAGCCCAAAGCAAAGCCATGAGAGCTTATGCTCAAAGTGTTGGGAATTGTTGGGAGGGGAGTCTCACATTGGCTAATTAAGGGGAAGATCGTGGTATAAATTTTAATTTTCATTGTTATTATTATTTTTTCTTTTTCCCTCGAATATGCTTCAACTTTTATGCTCAAATGATAGCTGTGGATTGACAGAAAACTTTGTTGTGATGCTATTAAGTCATTATTCATCAACGAGGGAAGCATGGTGGTGAAGCGACGGCGGATTCTGTCCGGCTGATTGCTAATCATATAAAATCTCATGACTGCCAATTGCATCTTCATATTCCATCGAGGTTTGAATTCGCATACTTGCTCTCTTTTTTTTCTCTCTTTTTTGTAGCATATAATCATGCTTTCTTGTAGAAGTTTCTGCCTTGATGAGAACACGTTGAAGCTAAGTTTTTACTGCCCATGTAATTGTTAGACAAAGATACATCACTGCCTTTTTTTCAAAATGTAGAATTCCACTGCTTTTGTTTGTTGAGGATTATTTGGAGGAGAACCCACCTGGGCTAATTAAGAGAAAACCACAAGTTTACTCATCATTGATTTAATGCCTTTTGAAAAAATCAAAAGCCTTCAAGTATCGAACAAAGAAGTTGTAAACCACGAAGGTGTAGTCAAAGTGACTCAAATGTCGAACAAAGGGTGTACTTTGTTCGAGGGTCCAAAAGAGTCGAGCCTCGATTAAAGGGAGGATGTTCGAGGACTCCAGAGAAAGAGGCCTCAGAAGAGGCTCTATGGTGTACTTAGTTCGAGGGGCCGTCTTCTATAATATTTGCTCCCCCATCTCTGAAAGTGTAGCATCTTCCACTCGTTGATCACAACACTTCCACCTAAATTTGCAGCTACAAATATCCTATTTCCTCCCTCTGACACAAACCATCCACTTGTCTGAGATTCTTCAGTATCATTCGTCTCCTTGCCAATCATGCCTCCTTGATTATTCTCTTGATCATCAAACTTACCAAGAATCTCATCACTTGTGAGAATGACCTCATCAGCCTCTTGCTTACCCTCCAAAAAAAAAAAAGCAAGTTTTTCATGGAGCTTCATCAAACTTACCAAGAATCTCATCACCTGTGAGAATGACCTCATCAGCCTCTTGCTTACCCTCCAAAAAAAAAAAAAAAAGCAAGTTTTTCATGGAGCTTGCTTGGATATTTGTTACCTGTATGACTTGAAGTCTCATCTCCTCCAATATGTCCACTCTCTTTGACAATCTCCAAATCCGTCTGCGTGGAATCCAAACTAGAGTTAACGCCTTGATCATCTACACTACTAGATTCGGCAATAAGATAAAGTTTTTGTTTGTGCTTCGTTAACTGCGAAACTCCTTTGTTCGTTAACTGCGAAACTCCTTTGTACTTTATCAGAAATAATTAAGCTTTTACTATTTCCATTGCTTCTTAATGCTTCGTCAATACCTTCCCCACTATGGTAAAAGTGATTCAAGTTTGGCGATGGAGATAAATTGGGGAATGTTATGGTTTCTTTCTGTGTCTTCTCATCTCAAACAAAAACTTAATTATTTCTGATCCTCCTTTGGCGGCATAGTTTCGCTTCCACCAATGAACTCCCAAAGGTCTTATCCCTGTAGATAGGACATCATGCACGTTGCCCAGGCACCATTAGGATCCTCCTTTGGTGGCATAGTTTCACTTTCACCAATGAACTCCCAAAAGTCTTATCCTTGTAGATAGGACATCATGCAGGTTGCCCACTTCTTGTAGTTGTTATTGTTGAGTTTCTTGAGATTATCAAGTTGGCAATACCTTAGTATACCAAACAAGTTTTTTCATTAGCCAAGCTGCTCTATCTCCAACTCTAAGATGTAAAGGCAGTTTGCTGTGTGCCGCCGAAGCAAAGGGAATTACATCGTACCGCGAATCCTTGAGTCGAGCTCGGAGAACGGGCCTCGATCATATAGTTTGTTGCCCCGTGTCGGCACTGTGGAGGAGTACGTGAGCCTGTCCGGGATGGACCCCACGACATGTGTTGTTAGGTCAACGTTCTAACCAATTGAGCTAACCAACTTAGCCTTGATAATCTTGGCTCCTTCACAATGATATACACCGGTAGATTAACCTTGCTGATACCACTTGATGTCGAGAAAATCGAAGAAAAACAGTCGAAGAAAATTTGTTGGAAGAATGAAAACAAAAAGCTTAAGAAAATAACAGAGAACGAAGCTTGGGATTTGACTTTGCTGAAAAACACATTGATTTGTTTCTCATTATTTAAATAACAATTCTATCTTCAAAATGGTCGCCAACTAAATCTGCCACTTCCTGTAGACATGGCCGTGAGGCCAGCAAAAAATATGGTAATCCATGTATGTCAAATGGTCAAAAGAAAAAGATTTGACTAGCTAATTTGAGTAAAAAACTTCGAGAAAACTAAATAAAAAAAACTTTTATTTTATCTAACAAAAAGAAAGATGAGCATCGTAAGGGGAGCAAAAAACACAAGAAAATGGAGAATCGTGAGGAATCAAGTCATTTGAAGGGGAATGAAGAAAGACAAAGTTTAGTGAAGAGGTATAACCGTTGCCTGACGCAATATCTACCGGTGAGTAGATATGAAAATATTATTATTACTCAACGAAAGAATACAGATTTAAAAATAAGAAAAAGAATTGGAATCGAATGTTCAATCTTCATTGATATTCACAACCTTTAAATAGGATACAAGATACTAAATAATATATAGAAAGAAAATATAAACTAACTAAATCCTAATAAAATAAAATATACTACTATTCAAATTCAACTTCTAATATATTCTTCAAGATTACGAATATCATATATTCCATAACTAATTCAAACTAAAATAAGTTGCACTAAATTCTGACAGCCTCCCCTTAGTGCAAGCCATTTCTCAACGACTCTGAGAGCCTTTACGAAAAACTTCAAACTTCACTTTGGCGAGTGTCTTAGTAAATATGTCTGCAACTTGCTCATTAGTATGTATTTCCTGCAATTCAACATCTTGTGTTAACACTTTTTCTCGAACAAAATAATCTTGGAAGAATTTATTCCCGCTAGGCTTGCGTATGGCCTTCTTAGGCACGCCACCACCTGAATAAGACACTGACACATCATGTTCAATGATTTCCTTCTTAATAAGTTCCACATCACAGCGATTCAATCTGGTAATCTTCTGAAAAGATCTAATTTTGAGAGCATTTGACAGTTTCGGTCTCAAAACAGTCTTCTCTCCAATGGTCTTAAACTTTGAGGCTTCCACAACTATAAAAGCTCCTTCACCATTTGAGTCCACGTAAAGTCCACGCAAAATATACAAAGCATCTACATGGCCAAGCTTCAAGTCGATTGCCTTCTGAAACACTTCAAGTAGAGGCCAAATCACAGTGAGCATCAACATAATCTGGTTTCATGAATATGGTCTCTTCCAAGGCCTTAACGGCAGGATCCAAATTACTGATATGACCCTCCAATGATTGAATCTGAGCCTTTGATTGCTCCAATTCTAATGACAAAGAGTAATAATTCATCTCAACTTGTGCAGACTCATACTCCATACACTGGTGAATTACATCTCTGGCAGACGGCAAAAGCTCTTGATCTTCTGATCCTTTTTTACCACTCAATATACCTGCAGGAGCTTTACATCCTTGGTCAAGGTCCAAGTCATCCTTACTATGATCACCAAGGGCATGCTTAAGCTTCTGAGCGAAGGGACTCATCTTCGTCAGCTACCCAACCATCATGCTCATCACAAGCATCGTCACCATTGTCACTAGATGCATAGTTCTGACTTAAGAGGGTGTCAAATCGATCATCCAAAAGCCGCCGAGTTCGTGGCTTTTCAACATCATCTTTCACATGGTCAACGTCTGCATCCTAAAAAATGTCATCGCCAAAAGATTTGTTATTAACAATATTCTGGCTTCCTGTCGCCTTCTCAGAATCCTTAGCCACACTAAACTTATTATCCGTTGAATCATCCTCCCCTTCTTCACATAAATTTGCCTGAACTACGAAATCCTCCTTCAAGTCCTCAACATCAAAACCAAATTGTGATAAATCATCATCATCAAGTAGTGTAGCTATTTCTGGGTCAGGCTGGGGTAGAGCATTAGTAGCCAAATCCTGCGAATTGGTAGTTTGATCCAAATTCTCCAAGATGAGGAGATCGTCAGCCTCAGAGGGGAGGTAAAGACCGTCAAGATCGTCAAACGTTAGCTCGACAACTTCATTTTCGTCGAATCCCAAATCCAAGGCCGTGGAATAATCAGAAGGGTCATCAGGGGCGACCGAATTGGCATCGGAGAAAAAGAGAGAGTCCAGAGGCAAAATTTGGAGAGAATCAAATTCATAAGCGCAAGTGGTGGAATTAGAATTTTGATCACCTGTAGAGACATCATCTTGATATACG